CGAAGTCCATGCACCTTTAGCCGATGTTCCTCAATCGCATCCCATATGGCTTCCACCCTATAATCAAGGGAAATTTGGCTATACACCCCATTTACCTTCCTTTCATTGTTAAAATGACTAAGAAAAAAATTATACTTTCTAAACCCCCTCATAATTATAAAGTCTTGCATAAAAGACAAAAATTATTATTTAAATATTTTATTAGACTATTATACCCTCAACTAATTTTTCCCACCTATTCCACCCACTCTCCCCCTACCTTCTCTGTCTCTCTCTCTCCTCCTTCTTTCCCTTCTGACTTTGTTCTCCTCCGACGTGCTCCTCCTCCTTCTCGTTGCCTCGATCACCGTCGATGGCCGTGACATGATTAGATTACCATCGGAAACTTCCAGATTCTTTTCCGGCGATGATAGCAACGACGGCTATGATGTTTCCCTTCTAGATCTAAAGCTCTGTTTCTTGACAATTTTGGTAACTTCTTCTTCTCCGACGATGATAGCAACGTCATCGTCATCACTCTCCTAGCCAAGTCCGGTCAGTTATCAGGCGAAACTCCGACGATCAACAATGCCGAAACTGATCTCTACGATGAACTCATCAAGAACATCGGGAACGAAATCAACTACGGGCTGGAAAATTGTCCTCCGGTGCCGGAATCGAAGGAGATTGTCTACGAGGAGAAACAGATCGTCTCTAAATTGAGGCATGTTTGGTGGAGTTGTTTGGTTATACATATTTTTTTAAACACAGATTTGAGTTTTGAATATATGTATATATATATTTGTGTGTATGAGTGTTGTTGAACACATGTATTCTTTTCATTGAAATTTGTAATTGTTGATCGAGTTTTAGAAGTTTTTCTTCTCAATTAGATATGTTGATTTGTTGATTAATTTGTTTTGTTTTTGTTTGTTTGTTTGTTTTTTGATTTATTTTTGTTGTTTTTGATCTAATTTCATTTGATAGAATTGCTCTGTTTTTTGTTTCAGATAATGAGAGTAAAATTTTACTCTTGTTCTATTGCTCTGTTTTTTGTTTCAGATAATGAGAGTAAAATTTTACTCTGGTTCTATTGCTCTGTTTTTTCTTTCAGATAATGAGAGTAAAATTTTACTCTTGTTCTATTGCTCTGTTTTTTGTTTGAGAGAATTAGAGTAAAATTTTACTCTGGTGTTAGAATGACGGTAAAATTTTACTGTCAAGAGGTGGTCATTGTCAAACACTTCAGCCGCCACAAACACTGGTTTCGCTTTTTTACTTTTGTGCAGAGTAACATTTTACTTTTACCTTCAGAGTCTCACAGTTTACTCGTTTTTCAAAGTAAAATTTTACTTTTATACAGAATAAAATTTTACTTTTGTGTAGAGTCTAACATTTTACTAGTTTTTCAGAGTAAAATTTTACTTTTATACAGAGTAAAATTTTACTTTTAGTTTCAGAATGTAAAATTTTACTTTTATACAGAGTAAAATTTTACTTTTAGTTTCAGAATGTAAAATTTTACTTTTATACAGAGTAAAATTTTACTTTTAGTTTCAGAATGTAAAATTTTACTTTTATACAGAGTAAAATTTTACTTTTAGTTTCAGAATGTAAAATTTTACTTTTATACAGAGTAAAATTTTACTTTTGTGTAGAGTCTAACATTTTACTAGTTTTTCAGAGTAAAATTTTACTTTTATACAAAGTAAAATTTTACTTTTAGTTTCAGAGTGTAACATTTTACTCTTGTTCAGAATAAAATTTTACTTTTATACAGAGTAAAATTTTACTCTGAAATACACAGTGAAGATGGCTTAATAGGAGATCTGATAGATATGAGGGTAATATAGTAAAAGAAACAAGTTTTAAAATATTAGCGGGTTTTAAAAGTACTTATATAATTCTTGTCCTTTTGAAAGACAAATTAGATAGTGAGGGGGCTATCATCAAATCCCCCTATAATCAATGTCAATATTGTTTGTGTGTTCTCCATTGTCTTGTGTCATTAAGCTAGGCGAATCCATGTTCTGATACCACTTGACACAACAGAATACACGGGAACTAGATATCGTTCTAGTAAACGAAAGGGGCTCTCGAATCCACGAGAAAAATAGAACCTTGAATCTACAAGGAAGAGAAAATATCTTAATATTATTGATTGAATGAATAAAAAGTTAAATAAAAGTTGTTTTTGCCATTAGGCTTACATAGCTATTTATAATAAAATAAACCTACTACTTGTAGGAAAAGTAATTCTAAAATAAACTAGAAACTTAAATCAACACAAATTAAGAAACCTAAGAGAATAGGAAACTAAAATTCTAAACTACTTAAAATCCTAGTCAAAATCTAATTCCAAATAATAAAATTAAGAAACCTAATAATTCTAAAATATTTATTCTAAATTACAAGAATCCTAATAAAATAATATATCTAAAATATTAAAACTAAAAATATAAAAATTCTTAAAATCTTGTCCTGCATCAGAAATAAGCAGAAATTGTTCTATAGGACTGGTTCATATTCTATGTGATTTGCCCTTCGAAGTGTATGGGGTCATATAACTAATTTTTCGTATATTTTCTCATTGCGGTAATATAGGCACACAATCAAAAATTATCTATTAGGTCTAGAATACCACTTGTCCATGTATCTATCCAATAATATTCTATAATTTCTCCACTATTTTCTTATTTTTGAAACTATGTATTTATTTAGCCCCTGCTATTCGTCAGGCACACGGCCAACGTGAAATTCCCGCAAAATATAATAATTCCTCGCATAATGACCTGGTAGAACAGATCCACTAGATAACTTGGAAACAAGGGAATACTTTGAAATTGATACATGTTGAACTTTCAAAGTGGCTCAACTCATGCCCACACTGCCCAATTTTATCCGTTTGAAACCCATTTAAATCCATAAAATACGTTATAAATGAGTAAGCCCATCATTTTTAACTGCTTAATTGGATAACAAGAAATTTAATTCACATAAGCATCAATGTTATGAGGACTTTTTCTGTACAAGTAGTATTATCGGATAAGTTACATGCCAAGAGAACTGTAAAGTTCATAGATAGGGTTGGCACTGTTTTCAATATTTTCAAATATAATTCAGAAAAATTGTCCCATAAATAGCTGAAAAAAAGAAAAAAAAAGTAAGATAGGAAAGAAGAAGAAGAAGAAGAAGAAGAAGAAGAAGAAGAAGAATGATTGCTGATTGCTTTGGTTTTTTTGTATAACGATTATTTATTCCAAAGTATGAAAAAGGCATTTGAGAGTTAAGTCAAACTTGGAGTAGTTCACTCTACTTGAGGGGGAAAAATGAATAACATGCATATATGAATTAGAAGAAGAAAAAAGAAACATAAAAATGAGTAGAAGCTACTAGGTATTTATGTTGATATGGAATTACAAATCAACAGCACTTTCTTCTTCTTGAACAAGCTATCCAATTTGAAGTAACTGGAAAATAACCTCCATATGCTTCTCTTTCTTCTTCTTGAACAAGCTGTCCTTAAGGGCAAAATTATGAGAGTCATAATTAAGTCATAACTAACACCATAATTAGTCATGACCAACAACACAACGGGTTATAACCAAAGACAACAAAGATCATAACTGGGCATATGGTACGCACGTCAAAAAGGGGTATGTATTATTGAATTTTCCTCTTTTTTAATGTTTATAATAGTCATTTAATAGTTGATTGTATTTGGGAGATGAGCAGAGAAACTACAACAATATAAAATGGCAAATTAGCTTCTCAGGATATAATGAATGACAATTCTAGTACACCAAACTACCACCAGCTTGGAAAAAAAACCAATGTGTATGTGTGTGCCAAGTTTCTCTCATTCATCCAATTGTGTCATCTACAATTAGCAATTATTTCCATGGTTCTTTTCTTGCTTATGAGCAACATTTCTAATCAATACTGTCCATATCGCCAATTTCCTACTGTAATTAATCACAAAATTCCCATGTCTCAATAAGTGCTAGTCAATATTTCCAGTGTGCTCCCATAATTGCCATTGAATTGAGAATGTTTAACCTCCCTACAAGCAAACTTGGCAACATTTCAACAAGGAGAAACACACAACATTATTTTCAATGTGAATTCTCTGTCCAATAGCCAACATTTCAGTCATTCAAAAATGATTAAGAATGTACCAAGAGGAATGGTTTCAGTAGTAGCTTGTAAGATTGCATTTAAAACTTCAAAACTTGTCAAGCTTTAGTCTTCTGTGACTGAAATCCAATTTAAAAGCAACTACATACAAAAGTGCAAATCTCTAAAGGTAGTAGATGATGCGAGAAAAGAAACAACGAAGAGTAATGACACAAAACTCTTATTTAACTTAGTGCTTTAAGAAAACTAGACATCTTAACAAAGCTTTAGACTTCACTAGAACAGCAAGGGTAAAGCTTTTGAGGTGATCCTGCATAGCTGTTATCCGGATGCACATGCACTCAAATGTAGCAGCTAGGTGAGAAACCCCTTCAACTGGACAGCATTGCTTTATTGTGCTACTAAATGGAATAGATCTAGTTTTGAAATAAAAACATTAGGAACTCAACTATACCTTATGGATAGAAACCATAAAAGATAATTCAACAAAGTAATGCGTCAAATATTATTTCCACTTACCTACTAACGCCATTTGTTTTTGTTGATTCTTCTTTCACTGCATCAGTTGGTACTCTTCTTAGACCTTTTTACCTTCTTATATTGTCCTCGTTCAACAACTTTCATAAGCCATTTTGGTATTCAAGTTACAAACATAAGATATCCCATAACCATTCCAAATACAAATCCACATCCATATCCCATCACTATAACTTTCCTGTTAAATTTGCTCGCAAAGTTTTAATTTGCATCTTCTTCATTATTCTGACATTTCTTTGATAAGGGAAATCCACACAAGGCCAAGTTCCCACTATATGAATCTTTTTCAAATATATTAAACTGGCTCCCTTGAGGAATTGGTCACACCAGTTGATTAACTGAAAGGTTTAGTACACAAGAAACATCAAACTTGTCAACTTGTTTGAGGATAGATCTAATGATTCAAGGTTTTTCAAATTTCCAAGCGAAGTTGGGATGTGGCCTTTGAGGTTGTTATGAGATAAGTTAAGATCTTGAAGTGAATTAAGCCTCCCAATGGATTTCGAAATCTCTCCTATAAATTTGTTGCTCGATAAATCAATGACTGAGATGATGGTTGAGATTCTTGAAAATTTAATCTCATGTCCTTTCATAATCACCACCACATAATCGTAATAATAGATATCACCCATGTATTTCAATTTCATTGCATGTTCATCCATATTCATCATTGCTTCAAATTTTTCGATATAACTGGTTGGCCAAAGGCCACTGAGCTCATTGTAAGATATGTCAATAATCCTCAACTTAGTGAAAGGAACTTTACTCTTGGTCTTAAAGGCGTCTATATGACCATGAAACCTATTAAATCTCAAGACTAGACCTGTAATCTAGAAGAGTTCCTAACCAGTGGGGGAATGTATCATTTATCTTGTTTATTCCAAGATCTAGAACTTCCAAGTGTTCACAATTGAGCAAAGATTACAGAACTTGTCCTTCAATATGGTTGCCATTCAAGTTAAGATTCTTCAGCATGTTACCTGTTGTAAATGCTGCAGTAAAGGTTCCATGAAAGCTATTCATCCCTAAATTCAGCACTGATCAAGAACTTTAAGTTAGTTATTTTAGACAAATCAAGAACTTTAAGTGAGTTTAGACTGCAAATTAAAGGAAAGATTTCTCTTGTCAATTTATTGTTTGAGATGGAGAAAGCAATTGTGGTGATAGGTGGAATAGGGAGTGGTCCATGAAGTAAGTTGGAGTGCAGGTCAATAAATTGTAGTGTTTGCCATGGAAGTTTCTCTAAACCAGTAAGCAAATTATTAGAAAGATCTAAATCCTTCAATGAATTTTTCCCCACATCAAATACCCATTTTGAAACTTCACCACCAATTTTGTTGTTTGAAAGGTCTAGAGAAAGCAATTCAACTTGTACTCTCAAGAAGTTTGGAAATTCGCTTAAGTTACAAGAAGCTAAAGCCACTTATGACAAATGTTTTTTTAAATTGGAGTAGTGCAAATCTCTGACCCTCAAGGCACGTAGGGCATGCAGAAGTAGAAGAAGACCATGATGATGAACAAGTAAGAACTTGAGAAAACAAGAGAAACTACAAAAATTGATGAAGCAATATTAGCCAACTCATTTCTCCTTATGGGAATCAAAGATGTCAAAATGAATAAGTTGGATATTTGATGATGGAGAAGGATAAGAGAAAATGTATTCTTGTTATACACACTGCTAAGTAACATTAAGACTTTCTCTGGTGCAGCCCGTCAAGTAAGGTAACCATGTAAATTGTAATTATCCACTCTTCAAACAAGCTTGTCTTCCATCAACGTTTGATACGACGGAAAATGAAAATCAACTGAAAGATTTTCTGTCAATCATGAAAAGAAGTTTATTTGGGTGAAAAATATTTTTTGAACTAAACTCCTGTCCTATAACAACATTAGACAATCTCCACCTCCACCACCCTACCACTATTACCAGGGCCAACCCTGGGCATAGGCCCACCAGGCCATGGCTTAGAGCCCCTCAAAATAGACCCAAAAAATGGGCCCCTCCTATTTTATTTTAGTGTAATATATTATGTAGGTTTTAAGTCCAAAAAAAATTTAAAAAGGCCCAAACTAACTTAAAATAAATTGACCTATTAAAAAATTAAAAGGCCCATTTTCTCTCCCTATCTAATTCCTAACCCTAACTCTTAATTCAATTTTCCCAACAATTTGACAGCAACAGCACAACAAAGCACAACAGAGCAACAACATAGCACAGCACAGCACAACACAAGTAGGTCTCTATTCAATTAATTAAATATTTGTCTTATCTTCTGCTCAATTGCTATTATAATATTGGTATTTATACAAATCTACATCATTAAGAAGAATTTGTTTAAGTTTAATAGTTCACATCACATAATTTAAAAATGATCAAAATTTACCTTCAATCAACCATGTCACAAGAAAGATTGAATGGATTAGTATTATTATCCATTGAAAATGATTTTGCAAAAAAACTAGATTATGCAAGTATGATTGATTTATTGGCTTCTAAAAATGCAAGAATAGGAAGGATCAAGTGATACTTATTAGTTGTTGTAATGTAATGCTAAGTATTTTTTGTGATTTTGACACAAATCTTTTGTTCTTTACCTTCAAAAAAAAATTCGTTGAATGAAAAAAATTGTGAAAGGCCCCATAAATTTATTAGTTGATTATCTGCTTTGGATCCTGAAAATCTCAAGGCTAGGCCTGACTATTACTGCCAACACTACCACCAAAATTTATGCCCCGTCACTGTTGCTGCCACTACCACACCCACAATCACTAGCACATTAATTTTAAGGTCAGAATCAAATGTTGAAAAATATTTTTTTTTTATTTGTAATAAACATTTTCAGTAACAAAATATATTTTACCAAAACAAATAGAGTGGTAATTCTAGTGGTCCCAAAGCTAGCAAAGGTTGGCCATAAGTCACGAAAAAAGTTGGAGTTGGTATTACTAAGCAAGTAATGCAACAATTTGAGACTGGAATTGTTGGAGAGATGGAAGAAAAACCAACCTGGGTAGGTGGGATATTACTTAATGAATGTGGCTGGAAATAAGTAGTTTGAGGTGGACACATGTTGAACTTTCAAAGTGGCCGAACTTGTACTGAGAGAGAGGGAGAGATTTCCAAGTCATCCAATACAAGGTCTACCCTCAAGCTCTACATATTAACTTTATACAAACCTTTTCCATCCTTGTGTAACCATTTTTCATTTTAATTTTGGTGAAATATTGAGATATAATCCCATGCACTCATTTTTATAATCAAAATTTTCAATTCTTTAGAGCTCCAAATTAAGTTATAGATGTGAAGAATCTACTTTCAAGACAGACATTTAAAGGGGGGGGGAGGAAATTTGACACTGGGGAATAAAATCTTGTTACATTTACAATGAAAATTGATTGATTTGTGTGGCCAATTTTTTTGCATGCAATTTTAGGAAATTTTAACTAGGGGTGCAACTCAAGCATATTCAGCTGGGTTGAGGGGTTGTTCAAGTTGTCCTTAGAGTTGTCTAAACCTTCCCGAGTCCGACCTCTAGCCCAATTTTGTGTGCTCAAGGCTGGCTCAAGCTCAATATATTGAACTTGGGGATAAGAAACTGTTGCATATAAAGTTAACAAAAAAAAGTGGTTTCATTCACTAATTGTAGTTTTTTAAGTACAAACAACCAGGTGATACGAAATTGACATGAACAACTAAACATAAAATCCTAATACGCTCCTACTCATGACAATAGTAGCACAAACAAAAAATTTATAATTGGAGTAAAAAACATAGGTACAATTAAAAAAAAATCCTAGGTTTGAGCCTTCTAACAAAATAAACTTTTGTGTGTTTAACTTTGTCAATTTAAACCATATTATTTTGATTTGTTTTCAATTTAAGTCATGTATGTTTTTGTTATGTAAAACAACCGGGAAAATGGAATTTTAGTCATTTAAAAAAATGAGGAAGATGTTGTGTATGGTGATACAGTACAATAAGGTATATATTTAAGGTAAATAGACATATGGCATAATATGATTGGAGCTAGGACTAAATTGACTCAAATTGACAACTTTTAGGATCAAAATGATAAAAATTAAAACTTAAGGGACTAAAATGATAAGGAATGACTTTAGGGACTAAAATTATCTTTTAGCCATATTGTTCTCGTTAACAATATAGACGGACATTAGAGGTATGACCAATTGATTCAAATTGACAATTTTGAGAACCAAAATGACAAAATTGAAACTTAAGAGACTAAAATAAAAAAGATCACATACTTTGGACGTTAAAACTGCCTTGTATCCAAGTTTTGATATTTGGAAAAAAGAAAACTAGTTCACCCACTTGGTAGTGCCCAAGAAAACTATCCTTATTTTCTGTATTTTCTTTCTTCACAACTTCACAAATTTTTTCATAAATTTAAGATCGAAATACAATCTTAAGATTATCCAAGAAATATTTGATATCCATTCATTTAAGTTGTTTTTAGAAATCTCTAATGGACCCTAAAAAATGGATGAATATATCTTATAAGCTTAAAGCTAAACTAAAATGATATTGTTTTAGGATGTGTAGTTTAAAATAAAAACTTAATATTTTAGTGTCATCTTACTTTAATTTTAATGTTATGTTGTTGAATTATGTATTTCACAGACATGTTTTACTATGGTAAAAATCATAAAAAAAAATTATTATTAAAAAAAATGGCAATACTAAAAAGTTGCAAAATAAGAGAGGTACAGACTACTTAAGGATCAAAGATTATTGATTGAATTAGGTAGTTGGTCTCAAAAAAAAAAACTAGTATGAGAAGAAAAATTATCCAATGCTCCTGTAGATAATTCAAAGAGAACGGCTTCTTTCCAATCTGCATATGGACTAAAGAATGTTGTTTGAGCAATCAAATTGTCTACCCATTAACATATTAAATATTGGGTCAAGTTTTTTTATTTGAATCTAATTGTGAATTTGTAAATAAGTACACAAAATCTTAACCATTAATTTATAAAAAAGTGTCAATGTAACAAACATCTATTGCTTGTGCAAAACTAAACGTCCAGTTTGAATATCCAGATTAGTTGTGGAATTCGGACATCCAAACTGGAGGAGCTTCGCCAATAGCCAGAAACTAAAGGGAACAACAAGACACATTAAAAAGTAACTACCATATTCTTTTTTAATGTTTATAACAATCATTCAGTTAATAGTTTATTGTATTAAGAAGAGTAGGCAGAGAAAATACAACAATATAGTACACCAAACTATCACAACTGAAAAAAGTAAACCCCACTGTTGATTTTATTTCTATGATTCTTTTCTTGCTTATGAACAACATTTCCAATCAATACTTTCAGAATCGCCATTTTCCTATTGTAATTAATCACAAAATTCTCACTTCTCTCAATAGAAACAAGTGCTAGACAATATCTCCAATGTGATCCCTTAGTCGCCATTGAATTAAGAATGTTTTTACCTCCTAACAAGGAAACTTGGCTACATTTTAAAAAGGAGTAACACATCATGATTTTCAATGCAAATTCTCTATCAAGTAGCCAACAATTTTGTCATTCAAAAATGATTAAGAATGAAACAAGGGGAATGGTTTGAGTTGTAACTTTTAAGATTGCATTTTAAAGTTAAAAAACTCAGCAAGGCCAAGTTTGACTGAAATCCGATTTAAAAGCAGCTATATAAAAAAAGTACAAATCTTTAAAGGTTGCTACAAGATGCGATAAAAGAAACAAGAAAGAGTCACGATATGCAACTCTTATTTAACTCATGCTTTAAGAAAACTAAACAACTTTACAAAGCTTTAGAACTCAATACAACAACAAGGGTAAAATCTTTTGAAGTGATCCTGTATAGCTGCTATCCAGATGCACATGGACTCAAATCCAACAGCTACATGAGACACCCCTTCAAGTGGACACCATTGCTTTATTGTGCTACTTAATGGAACAGATCTAGTTTTGAAATAAAAACATTAACAACTCAATAATAGCATATACATAAAAACCATAAAAGATAATTCAACAAAGTAATGCTTCAACGATAAATTTTACTTACCTAAATGACGCCATTTGTTTTTGCTTTTTTCTTCCTTTACTGCATCAGTGGGCACTCTTCTTGAACCTTTTCACCTTCTTATATTGTTTTCCTTCAGCAATTTTCATCAGGCATTCTGGACTTCGAGTTACAAACATAAGATATCCCATAACCATTCCAAATACAAAGCCGCATCCATACCCCATCACAACAACTTTCCAGCTAAATTCGCCCTCCCAAACTGAATTTTCATCATGTTGGAGTGTTGGTGAAGGTGGCAATGGTTGTTGTCCCTCACATATCTTTGATAAGGGGAATCCACATAAGGCCAAGTTCCCAGTGTATGAACCAATCCCAAATGTATTAAATTGGCTCCCTTGAGGAATTCGTCCCACTAGTTGGTTGTCTGAAAGATTTAATACCTCAAGAAACGTTAGACTTGCCAGTTGCTGCGGAATCTCCCCAACAAGCTTGTTTGAGGAAAGGTCCAATGATTCAAGGTTTTTCAAATTTCCAAGTGAAGTTGGAATGTGGCCTTCGAGGTTGTTATGGGATAAGTTAAGACCCCGAAGTGAATTAAGCCACCCAATGGATTTTGGAATCTCTCCTTGGAATTTATTTCTTGAAAAATCAATGATTGATAAGACTATTAAGATTCTTGATAATTCAATCTCTTGTCCTTTAATCATCACCACCACAGAATCTTGATAATAGCTATCACCCATGTATTTCAATTTCATTTCATGTTCATCAACATTGATCATAGCTCCAAATTGTTTGATATAATTTGTTGGCAAAAGGCCAGTGAACTCATTACAAGATATGTCAATAATTCTCAACTTAGGAAAAGGATGTTTGCCTTTGGTCTTGGAGGTGCCTATGTGACCATGAAACCTATTAAACCTCAAGACAAGAACCTGCAATTCTATAAGAGTTTCCAACCAGTGGGGGAATGTATCATTTATCTTGTTTTTTCCAAGATCTAGAACTTCCAAGTATTCACAATTGAGCAAAGATCGTGGAACTTGTCCTTCAATTTGGTTGCCATTCAAGTTTAGATTCCTTAGCAAATTGCCTTTGGTAAATGTTGCAGTAAAGGTGCCAGAAAAGTTATTGATTCCTAAATTCAACACCGAGAGACTATTGCTCAAGTTTCCCAAACATTGTGGAATCAAACCACTCAAACTGTTATTAGACAGATCAAGAACTTGAAGTGAACTTAGACCGCAAATCAATGGAGGGATTGCTCCGGTCAATTTATTGTTTGAGATAGAGAGAAAATATGTGGTGTTAGGTGGAACAGGGAGTGATCCTTGGAGTAAGTTGGAGTGTAGGTCAATAAACTGTAGATTCTTCCACGGAAGACACTCTAAACTTGTAAGGAAATTATGAGAAAGATTTAAACTAATCAATGAATCTTTCCCCACATTGAATAACCATTTTGGAACTTCACCTTGAATTTTGTTGTTTGAAAGGTCTAGTGAATACAAATTGGCTTGTTCTCTCAAGAAGTTTGGAAATTCGCTCAAGTTGCAAGAAGCTAATCCTATAGTGTCAAAGTTGGTCAAGGTAGAGTTGACACCGTTGTTGATGCTCAATGAGAGACCATTATATGAGAGATCAAGATAGGTCAGATTTTTAAGCTTTAGAAGCTTATCTAGATCCACTACACCACTTAGGTTATTTGATGAAAGCTCTAATCTCGTTAGGTTCTGGAGTTCATAAACTGATCCTGGAATTGGTCCCTGTAGCTTATTGTAACTCAAATCTATACCTTCCAGTGAAGGTAGAGCAAACAACGAAGATGGTATAGTCCCATTGAGTGAGTTATCATACAATTGGACAGCAGTTAGCTTTGAAAGCCCAGTTATACACGAAGGAATGGGACCAGTTAGCTGATTAGAATAAAGGTACAAGAAAGTAAGTTGGCTCATGTTGCCAAGGGAATCCGGTATTTGTCCGTTAAAATTGTTTCTGGAAAGATCCAAGAAAGGAAGCTTTGCAAGGTTTGAAATTGATGAGGGGATTTGACCGCTGAATTTGTTAGACCAGAAGCCTAAATCATTGATTTGTGTAAGGTTCCCAAAAGAGGCAGGAATGGACCCCGAAAAGTTATTGCTAATGAGGTACAATCTATTCAAGGCTTTAAGATTGCTGATTGATTCAGGCAATTGGCCAGAAAAACTTGTGAATGAGACATCAAGAGACTGAAAGGAACTAGTCACATTGAAGTTTGGAAGTTTACCTGTGAGTTCTGAATTTCCATGTACATCGAGGTTTCGTAGGTTTGGAAAGTGAAAAATGTTTTCTAAGAATTTCCCACGCAGTTCACAAGCACAAAGACTGAGAGATGTCAAAGAAGATAGATTTAGCAAAGCATAAGGTAAAGGTGAAGAGATATTCAACCCATCAAGGCGTAGTTCTCTTAATTGGGTTAGGTTTTGAAGAAGCATATTGAAAGTGTGTTGTTCAAGTCTCCCCTGATTTAAATTATAACTAAAGTGAGAGAGGTCAAGGGAAATCAATTTGGAAAGATGGGAGATTGTTGAAGGAATTTGTCCTGCAAAATTAGTGTCAGAGAGGTTGAGATGGGTCAAACTCGCAAACGAGCCAAACTCGGATGGAATTCTAGACAAACTGAAGTCATTGAAGGCAAGATTGAGGCTTTGGAGGTGAGGAAGGTGAAAGAGGGTGCTGTTGGCTTGGATAGTGCCCTGAAGTTGGCTGCAACTAAGGTCAAGTCCAATCACATGACCATTCGACCAGTCGCATGTGACCCCCTCCCACGAGCAACAATCAATACTCTCATTCCAGAACACCATTTTGGGATGAGAGCCACAATAGAAAAAGGCATCAGAAGTTATGGGAAATGTTCTTTTAAATTGGAGAAGTGAAAATCTTTGGTCCTTAAGGCAGGTATGGCGTGCACAAGTAGAAGAAAAAGAAGAAGACAAGAGAAATAGCAGAAGAAATTGATGAAAAAACATAAGCCAACTCATTTTGTTTTCTTATAGGTAGGAGGATTCAAAGAGATATGAAAAGGAGAGTAAGAAGGATAGTAGTTTGATGATGGTGAAGGAATAAATGTATTACTCATTCTTATACGCACTGTTAAGTCTTTCTATGGTGGTGGTGGTCAAGCACCGCAACTATGTAATTTTAATTCCCATGGGAAATTATGACTTCCAAGTTCGCAACAGTGATTCTTTGTCTTTAATTCCCATGGGAAATTATGTTGATAGTCCTTACATTTTGCCTATTGTCTCATTTTAGTGCCAGTAATTTCAATTAATCCTATTTTGAATTATTAATTTTAGATTTTGTGTTAATTTGGTTCAATTGATAACGTTGATTATGGTTGTTGAAAGAAAAAAATGTTACTGAGTTAGTTGAGAATTGAATTGAATAAGTTTACAATTTTTTAGCTATAAAAACATGAAACATGCCGCTCATGTGCATATTTAAAAAAAAAAAAAAAAAAAAAAAAAAAAAAACACTAAAAGTTGTAATCCATTGGATCAAATTGAGATAAAATAATAAATTAATGTCAAAATTGAGTCAATTAAAATTATAAAAACAAAAATAGCACAAGAGTAAAAATATAAGGACTATTAATATAAATTTCCTTAAATCAATTAAAAGTTGGTAATGCCTTGACTATTTGTAAAGCAAGTAATAAAACATTTTGGAACTGGTTTGCTTTTAATTGAACAAAAACATAAACGTAAGATTTATTATTTTTTGTTGTCTCGCAATTTAAAAAATATATAAATTTTTTAGGGTATTATTTTTTACAATTTCTTTAATGGAATATTTTAAAAAATAGACATTTTAGATTGTTTACTAAATATATTTTTCATAGTACAAGGCAACAGAATATGATGAATCCTATGACATAGTTATTTTCATCAAATTGTTGAGTACGGTTTTGTTTGATGTAGTTTATTCAATTTTTGCAATTAAAAAATATTTTTTTTAAGTAAATTAAATTTTTTATGTAATTGTTGTTCATATTTTAAAAGTGAACTTTTTTAGAATAAATAAGACTTAATTGTCTACATTGAAAATGACTCATTAATACTCTTGAAAATAAGATTTATTGTTAAAAAAATTTAATTTATTTATGAACAAATTGCGTTGCTCTAGTCCCCTTGGTGAGAGTATTAAATTATGCTGAAAAAGATTGCACATGTTTTTCTTTAATATTGTTTGTGGGTCGCTTTATTTGGTGAGAGTATTAAATTATGTTGAAAAAGATTGCACATGTTCTTCTTTAATAATGGTTTTGTTTGGTTCGTCTCTTGAGAGACAATTTTTAATAAAAAAAAAAAAATTAATTTGTTTGGTAGAAATTTTTGGGAAAAAAAAATTCAAAATCAATTTTCTCTTTACTATATATTAATCAATCACTTTTTCTCTTGCTTCTCTGTTTCTCTCACATTCCACATATCAATCAATCATTTTTTCTCTCACACCCATCTATTCAACTACAAAAACAAAAAAGAAATTAAATCATCCCAAACTATAAAACTCCAAAACTATTTTCAAAATATACAACCAAACAAAATTTTAAACTTTGTAAACTTTTTCCAGAAAAATATTTTTTAAAAGTGTTTCACAAATACAAACCAATTAGTTTGATTAATGTGTGCCCTTAAAGTAAATATTGAGAGAACTTGAAAATATTGTATCTTATTTATTGAATTCATTTTCATACACAATGTGCAATACTTTTAAATTTCTTAACATGTACCTTAAGAACACACACATTAATAAAATCCATATTATATATATAAATTGTTATTTTTTCTTGCTTCTCTCTTTCTCTCACATCATACATATCAATCAATCATTTTTTCATTAATAAAATCCATATTATATATATAAATTGTTATTTTTTTCATTTTAAGAACCATATATATGATTTTATATATAAATATATAAGTATATATTATTATATTAAAAATATATATTTTTCAAACTAGAATCGTAATCACCCTTGGAATAATCTTGCAAAGGTAATTTAGATAAGTAATTTAAGCTCAGAACTTAATTAGTGATAATGTAAATAGATGATTTAAGTCTAAAACATTATAATCCTTACAATAATCTTGATTATTGCAAGAAAGACATTACAAAGAATCTTATTTCATAATTTTCCATGTCATTTTTTTTGCAAGACTTCGTCACTTTATTTGGTGAGAGTATTAAATTATGTTGAAAAAATTGCACATGTTCTTTAATATTGTTTGTGGGTAGCTTTATTTGGTGAGAGTATTAAATTATGCTGAAAAGGATTGCACATGTTCTTCTTTAATAATGGCTTTGTTTGGTTTGTCTCTTGAGAGAATTTTTGATAAAAAAATTTAAAAAATTTGTTTGGTTGAAATTTTTGGGAAAAAAAATTCAAAATCATTTTTCTCTTTACCATATATCAATCAATCACTTTTTCTCTTACTTCTCTCTTTCTCTCACATCATACATATCAATCAATCATTTTTTCTCTTACACCCACCTATTCAACTAATAAATAAATAAATTAAATCATCCCAAACTGTAAAACTCCAAAACTAATTTCAAAATATACAACCAAACAAAATTTTAAATTTTGTAAACTCTTTCCAGAAATTTTTTTTTTTTTAAAAGTGTTTCACAAATACAAAGCAATTGGTCTGGTTAATGTGTGCCTTTAAAGTAAATATTGAGTGAGCTTAAAAATATTGCATCTTATTTATTGAATTCATTTTCATACACAATGTGCAATACTTTTAAATTTCTTAACATGTACCTTAAGAACACACACATTAATGAAATCCATATTATATTTAATATTACATATATAAATTGTTATTTTTTTCATTTTAAGAACCATATATATGATTTTATATGTAAATATATAAGTATATATTATTATATTAAAAATATATAAAATGAAGTGATTCACGATTTGTAAGGGGCAATTTGGGAAGACCAAAAAAGTCAATTTTTTGGCTTTTTTAGATTATATCACCTCTTTATTTTTTTACAAAAAAAAAAGTCAAAAAATGAACTTTTAACTAACTTTCCAAATCATCCCAAAATAAGACATTAATGGACTGCATTACCCTGACTAATTGTTAGATATAGATAGAATATGCTAGAACCAACTTGGGTGGGTGGTGGGAGATTTCTAAGGAATCTGGCTGGAAATAAGTCATAATTATCTTATAAGTCTAGCCTTATATTCAAGTGTATTAGATATATAATTAGTTTTTCTTTTATCTTTTTTTTTTATATATTTTAGACAAATTAATTATGTATTTCATTGTTATAGGATGGAAACATGGATCTGAGGTGCATGTTATGCCTTGTGGCACATCATGCATGTTTTGGCGTATCATGGAGATTTGTCCCGAGCCTATTTGATGATCTGAACAATTCATATTGTAAGATTCGTCGAATATATCATCCTTGCAACAAATCAAGTCCTAACTGTTTTAAAATAAATTATTAAAATTACATTAACCGTTTATTTTTTGAAAAATAAATATGGTCTTATTTTAAGGTTATAAATAACCAACTGATTTGATTTTCTTCATGGATGATCTACTCAACAAACCTTACACAATGAAAGGTTTGGATCAATAACATGAGCTCGGGACAAGAATCCAATGAGCCTCACAATGTCGTGTTGTGCCTTTTGTGCCTTACAAGCATAGCACGCTCCGCAATTCCATGGAAGCACAACCACCGTGAAACATGGATCCACCAGATAACTTTTTTGAAAATAAGGGATATTGTCCCGTTTGGAAATTCTATAGTACATTTTGTTTAAAAAATGTATAGTACATAGAAAATCAATGGCTAAGATTGAGCCACATCATTAAAAGTGATCTGGTAAACAGGTCACCTTTTATAGTTATGAGCCAAAATTATATTTGTTCATAACTAGAATCAAATTGATCATAACTTAGTTATGAGCTATCATCACATATCTCATAACCACATCTCATAACCAACACCATTTTGCTTATAACCAATATCACATATTTCATAACCATAATCACATCTCTCATAACTACATCTCATAATCAATATCCTTTACCTCATAACCACACCACTTTGGCCCCGTTTGTTTTCAGAGGTAGAATAGAAGAGATTCATAGTGAAGGGATTAAATAAATTTGTGTTTGTTTTGATGATAGTTGTTAGTGTAAGGATTGTTAAATTATTTTTGTATAAAATAAATATAAAATAACCAAAGAAATTTAAAAAATACAAAAACATTAAACATTAATATTCAAAAAAAATAAAATAAATAAAAAAAATTCAGAAAAAATAAAACAAATAAAATAATGATTTTTACTTAACAAAAAATACAAAAAAAAATTAAATATTAATGTTCAAAAAATAAAATGCCCAACAAGTAAACAAATAAAAAATAAATTAAAAAATGAAAAATTTCTAGTCCGGTGGACTATTTTGCTAATACCACCTCCACCTCCTCCATCCCAATGCCCCTTCCAGGGCCCAACCTAATCCTCTCCTCCATCTCAATCTCTTCCCCAAATCTACAAACAAAGACAACATTAAATGGGTCTCACCTCTATCCTAATCTCATCCCTCCCTCTATACCCCAAAACAAGCGGGGCCTTTGATCATAACCAATATCACATATCTCATAATCATTAATCACATTTCTCATAACCATTGCCCATATAGCTCATAATCACATCTTATAACCAACCCCTTTTGACTCATAACCAACATCACATATCTCATAACCAATACCCTTTTGCTCATAACCACATCACTTTGATCATAACCAATATCATGTATCTCATAACCAAACACCCTTTGATTCATAACTATACCACTTTACTCATAACCAAAATCACATATCTCATAATTAGTAATCATATATCTCGTAACCATTACTCACATATCTCATAACTAACACTCTTTGGCTCATAACTAACATCGCATATATCATAAACACTAATCACATATCTCATAACACCATTTGGCTCATAGCCACACCACTTTGCTCATAACTAACATCGCATATATCATAATCACTAATCACATATCTCATGACACCCTTTGGCTCA